ATTACGGGGTAAGTAGAATTTTCACCAAGGAAGGCATACTTTAAATTTGATGGTAATGCCTTGAGCTCAACCTTTGGAGCATCCTTCTCCTTAAGCAAATTTTTTTCTACTTCAATAGCAAGTTCTTCAATGATCGGGTTTTCATGTGGTGTCAAAGTAGTATCATCATCCAAGAATTTCACACTTTCATTGATCTTCTCCATCTCATGACTGTCCTCTATGGCATCACCAATGAATTTTTCAAGAGGATATTTGACATGGTTGTTTGAAAACTCTTGTACACAATCTTCAATAATATCCATTCTAAAACATTCATCGGCACAAGAAGGATTTTTAGCCATCTTGAAGATATTGAATTCCACTTTGTCATCCCCAACCTCAATAACCAAAGTGCCCCTCTTCACATCAATCACTGCACCCGCCGTAGCTAAGAAAGGTCTCCCTAGAATGATTGGAATCCTATCATCCTCCTCCATCTCCAAGACCACGAAGTCTCCCGGAATGAAATACTTGTCAATTTTTACCGGTATATCTTCTAGGATTCCAACGGGGTGCTTGACTGAACGATCCGCCAATTGTATAGTCATGGAAGTGCTCTTGGGATCGCCCAACTTTAACCTCTTGCATAGTGAATAAGGAATGAGGCTAACACTAGCCCCCAAGTCACACAATGCCCTACTCACCACCGCACCTCCAATCACACAAGGAATTGAGAAACTTCCCGGATCTTTTAACTTTGGAGGTATATTGCTTTGAATTATGGCACTTGATTCCTCACTCATGGCTATGGTGGCTTGCCCTTCAAACTTCCTTTTATTGGATAGAATCTCCTTCAAGAATTTAGCATATGAAGGGATTTGAGTCACGGCATCAAGAAGGGGGATGGAGATGTCAAGTTGCTTAATCAAATTAAAGAATTTGATTTTCCTTTCATCAAGATTGGCTCTTCTCAAGCGTTGAGGAAAAGGTAGAGGAGGAGTGTACTTCTCAAGCTCCTTATTCTTGTTTCCATTTCCCCGTTGAAGTGTTTCACCTTCTAAATCTTTAGCATCCTCTAGCACTTTTTCCCCGGGCTCTCTTTCCTCCACCACTTCTAGTTTCTTCTCAAGTACTAAGGGTGGATCTTGAAGTTGTTTTCCACTCCTAGTTGTAATGGCATTCACTTGATCCTTGGGATTTTCAGAATATGCCAGTAACTTGCCACTAGCCTTGTTGCTCGATGGTGAAGCTTGGGTTGCAATTTGGTTTTCAAGCATTTTGTTATGAGCAGCCACTTGATCAACTTTGGCATTCAAATTTTGAATAGCTTGAAACAAATCCTCCAAACTTCGCCCCTTAGGTGCCTCAATTGTTGGTCTTGGTGGATGAGATTGATTTCCATGACACCCAAATTGACTAGGCCCTCCTTGATGGCCTTGATAACTTGCTTGACCATGATATCCTTGATTCGGTCTCCACTGTTGCTGAGTCCCTTGATAATTCCCTTTGTAACCTTGTTGACCTTGAAACCCGGGAGGTGACCCTCTAGCAACGCCCGTAGGATTAGTAGCCCCTGATGGGTTGCTCCAAGAAAAACCAGGATGAGTATTGCCTTGATGTTGGAAATTCCTTTGATAGGGCCCTGAAGATCTCCCATAGCCAACATGATCAACATGCTCCATCATAGTACCATGTGAACCCTGTGAGCTCTGTGAACCGGTCTCAACAATATAGCAATCAACTGAAGCATGACCACCCCCACATATTTCACAACATATAGTAGAAGCATAAGTGGGATAAGGTGATACTGGTGATGGTGTGGAGGTAGAAACTGGCACATGAATAGGAACCGGAGGGTTGGTGACTACTGGTGGTTGAGTTTGATTCTGAGCAATCTTCTGAACCATGTGCACCATAGAATCTAACTTGGCAGCCAAAGCAGAACTTTGATCAAATTCATAAATCCCGGCTCCAAGCTTTTGATTAGACCTCTCACTATACCAATAAGCACTATTAGAGCAAATCTTGTCAAGCAAATTTTTGGCATCATCCGGCTCGAGCTCCATGAAAGCACCATTTGAAGAAGAATCGACAATGACCTTGGAGTTATCAGAAAGACCCTCATAGAAAGAAACAATCAAATCCCCAGTAGACATATTATGATGAGGGCATTGTCTTTGTAGATCTTTGTATCTCTTCCATGCTTCATACAAAGACTCAGAAGGCATTTGTCTAAACTGTTGGATTTGTTTCTTCAACCTTGAAGCTTTTGATGGTGGATAAAACTCTCTCATAAACTCATGATGAAGTTGATCCCAAGTTTGGAAATGATCGGCAGGATGGGAATCAAGCCACACTTGTGCATCATCTCTAAGTGAGAATGGGAACAACCTCAATCGGATGGCATCAACTGAAACTCCATTAATCTTCAAGGTCTTGCAAACCCTTAGAAATTGCCTCATGTGACTTGTAGGATCTTCACTCTTTGAGCCTCCAAATTGATTATTAGAAATCAAGGAAATCATTGCCGGCTTTATTTCAAAGTTGTTCGCTTCCACTCCCGGGTAGTAGATATTATCCTCCTCATCAATATCCCCCGCAACATAATCAAGCAATCTCCTCCTTTGTTGGGGACCTCTAGGTTGTGGCATTGGAGCTCGGGGCACTTGAGGTTGTGGCGTTGGTCCCGGTGGATAATAGTATCCATAGTGATAAGGAGGGGGAGGTGGATATGGATAATGGTATGGCGGTGGAGCATGAGGATGATTCCCTTGTGGTGCATCTCCAAGAGGTGGAATTTCATGAGGTTGAAAACCTTGTTGAGGCATCCCTTGATGTCGAGGACTAGGCACTTGAGGAGGGATATGAGCCTGTTCTTCAATAGGAACTTGTTGATAGTCATTTTGAACCTGAACCCTCCTAGGATCATTTTGAGGATTTGGAACATGGTGTTCCCCTTCTTGTTCCGGAGTATCACGGGTGACTCCTTGGCTTGTGCTCTCCATGGCTACTCTTTGTTGTTGAAGAATGGAACGGTGCTCTCTTTGCCTTTGCTTGACACCTCTCTCAATTTCCAAGTCAAGTGGTTGCAAACCTCCAACTCCTTTGGATCTTGTGTGCATATAAGTTCAAAGATGACCCTCAAGCAAAGAAAACTAGAGCAAAAGGTAAGAAGAGTAAAATAAAAACAAAGAAAAAAAGAAAAAAAAATGGTCTAGTCTCCTAGAATAGTCATTCACTAATGTTAACTACCACAAAATAATCAAAACCAAGTCATCCCCGGCAACGGCGCCAAATTTGATGAGGACGTTTTTCACGCATCCATCAAGTATCAAATTACAGTATAGAGTTTAGATATCGTTCCACTGGAGATGGCTCTTGTAATGTTAGGAATTGATTGCAAAGCAGAGTTAAGCACAAGCTAGAACTATTCTTTTAGAAGCTAGACCTATTGGTAAGGAGTTGGTTTGATATGATTATACTAATAACAAATAGAACAAGTAAAACAAAGGACCGGGATTTGGTTGATTCAAGCTAAGATGCCAAATATTGTACTAAGGATTAGGGAATTAAATCAAGGCATAGGGCAAGTGAGATGCACAAAAGTGTCCAAATACCACTCTCGTAGCTATTTGGACTTGCAACCTCACCTTAAACTCCACTCTCATGGCAATTCAACCCAAGGTTGCCCAAGCAAGAACACAAGGCATAAATTCTCCTTAATACCCGAAATACTCTCGTATTGGGCATTAAGTGTGTGAATGTGTGGCTAGTGTACAAGCTCTACTCTCGTAGCAACAAACACACTCCAAAACAAGCATATAATTGGGATCCAACAATCATACACAAATTTCTCAACAAACCCATTTCACACAACAACCCTAGATCACCCAAATAATCCCCTTTATGCAATACAACTCAAATAGGCATCAATAGCAAGAAATCAAACCAAATCCTAGTCCCAAAACACTTAGCTACTCATAATATAACAAAAGATACACAATGTTGAAAGAGTAATTGAAAGCATAGATGAAAAATAAAGAGAAGAGATAAAAAGAACACTTCTCTATTGAAGCCTTGAAATCCAAGATTTGCAATGTTCTTGAGCTTGGAAATGGAAAGAAACAACCAATCTACACCTATCTAAGCTATTCTAAAGTTAACCCTAGTTGTGAAGTGAAAGAGAAATGAAAAGTGTGTTCAAGAGTGGAAAAGTTCCCTTTAAAAAGAGTCAAATCGCGCTGCTAGAAAAAAACAGGGAGCTGGCTACGCCCGTGGCCACCAGGCAGAAACATCTGCCCAGTGGCCACGGATGTGGCCACGGTCGTGGCCACACCTGTGGCCAGTGTATACTGCCTGGTGACCACAGCCGTGGCTACCAGGTAGTGTATTCTGCCTGGTGGCCACGGATGTGGCCACGGCCGTGGCCACGCCTGTGGCCACCAGGCAGAATACACTGCCTGGTGACCACAGCCGTGGCCACCAGGCAGTGAATTTTGCCTGGTACCTACGGGTGCGGGCACGTCGCGGCTAGCCGGGTACGCCTTCGATTGTGTCGGTGATCACTTTGATGCTCTCCTCAGCCTCAGGTCACGCCATGATCCATCCCAAAAACGTGTTAAACTCTAAACAACATCACTTTTGTTAACCAAATGCATCTTCGTGTTAAGGTGACACCAAAAACTTGATCAAATACTTCATAGAATGCTTCAAAACATCATTTCTTTGTCAAATCACCTAACACACGCAATAAATTCATAAGTGACCAAAATGAATCTATAATATAATGAGTAACAAGCAAAAACACTAAAATGCACAAGGAAAAAGCATTAGTTTTAGACATTCATCACATTGGAACTATAAAATAAACATAATGAGAATTGGAAATACTAATAATATTTAAAGCAAATTCAAATTTCCCATAAAAAGTAGCCATCAATCTCCATGTCTCTTAGACTTCATGCATGTGACCATTTCTCTATTATTTCCTTAATTCCTGTTCCGCATCAACGGTCCACTTCTATATACTCCGTATGAAATATCAATAACTTCAACCACATATTATTAGAAGGAAAAAGAAAGTGCAGTAAAAGTTGTTTACCAAAAGGGAAACTATTTTACAAGGATTTTATTGCATATGCTCTACCTAGGATCCAAGACAGTCATGGTGCATTCGTTTGTTGAACCTGTTCCCTGTGTGCTTGAAGAGCAATCACCCTTGTTTACTCTTTGTTCTGTGAAAAATCCAGGCTCTTTTGCTTCAGGTAAGGTACTGTCATTGGACAATATTGTTACCACATAAGACATGATCGGTCTATCTTCTGGACGTTGTTGCACACATAACAATCCGACATGGATATACCTTTGAACTTGTGACAGATCACACGATGGACCAAGATGGACATCAATTAATTCCAACGCCCTGTTTTCTTTATACAGTTTCCATGCCTGCAAAGTGAATTTAGATAAATAAGAGTGATAGAAGTGATTCACCAAAAATAAATTATAAGTGTAATTTTTTATGACCTACATGACCAATAAGGTTGAGATTGTGGTCTGGATGGGAAAATCCTCTATTTCTTTTCCCACTCACAATTTCCAACAACAAAACGCCAAAACTAAATGTATCTGATTTTATTGAAAATGTTCCATCAGTAGCATATTCAGGTGATATGTATCCGCTGCATCAAAAAGAAAACATTTTTATTAATAAAATTGATAGAAAACAGTTGAATGGTCCAACATAAATAACACAATATAAAGGTTCTAACTGTGTCCCGATAATATGATTTGTATTTGCTCCTGTTGCATCTCCTCCAACACTTCTTGCCAACCCAAAGTCTGAAATCTTAGGATTCATATTGTTATCCAACAAAACATTACTTGCTTTAAGGTCTCTATGAATGATCCTTAATCGAGAATCTTGATGGAGATACATTAATCCTCGTGCAACTCCGTTAATAATGGTATGGCGTTTTGGCCAATCAAGCAATATGCTCTTTGCTTCATCTACCAAAAGGATGTTAATCAAGTTAAGGTTTCACAAAATATATAATGAAGTAATTATAGTGCATTGATGTAAGGGATCGGAGAGATTAGGAAACCAAACCAAATATAAAGGTATCCAGGCTTTTGTTTGGCATGTATTCGTAGACCAAAAGCTTTTCTTCTCTTTGTATACAACACCCAAGGAGCTTTACTAGATTGCGGTGTTGAAGTTTGGCAATACAAATTACTTCATTCTTGAACTCTTGTACTCCTTGTGTGGAAGTCTTTGAGAGTCGCTTCACAGCAATTTCTTGTTTGTTTTCTAGAACACCCTGAGTATTTGTATTAAACAACGTGTAGATGTTATGAATTGAATCTATAGAAGTTTTAAAAGTAAACTTAGTTAGTTTCATATGCATACCTTGTAAACAGCTCCAAATCCACCCTCTCCAAGTTTGTTATTTTCTAAAAAGTTATTTGTAGCTCTTGATATTGTAGACATGTCAAATAACGGTATTTCTAACCATTCTTTCAGCTTCATCATTTTCTCCTTACTCTTTTTGTAGAGGTACAAACCAAAGCACAGAACTAGCAAGATTATTATAGTTAGTGGTAACGAAGAACCTAAGACGATGATTTGTACTTTCTTCCCCTTTGAGCTAGCATGACAAGATTCGTCTGTAGTATCATGAAAGTGTTAGTTGCTTCAACCTTTTATCCAACTGATGGAGAAAATTAATTCGGGGGTTTGAATTAATTAACCCGATTAAATTATAGAAATAATAAGTATAGGATTGAATGAATGTGAATAATGTAACAAACCATAATAATGAGCGAATATGGATATGAATGTAAGTCACGGGGACAAACGTCGCATTAATTGAATATGAAATGCTATCACAAATGTAGGAATCGTGTAATAACAAAACAAAGTGTTGGATTATGACAAGTTGTGTCTCAATAGGACATGAATGAGGTTTTTATACCCAACTTCGCCATAACAACCCCGGAGAGAATGGTGGGGAGTAATCTCAACCGCCTTGGCGGACTGCAACTGACGCCGCAAGACTCGAACAACGCGAGGACCCCGTCACTTGCGCGAGCATGGAGCTCGGCCAAGTGGCTAACCTCCACGTGGCCGACCCCGGGGTGGCTGACCTCGGCTAAGGTCTGATCTGCCTTGGCCGACCTCGGCTAAGGTCTGCCTTGGCCGACCTCGGCTAAGGTCTACCTTGGCCGACCTCGGCTAAGGTTTGCCTTGGCCGACCCCGGTGTGGCCGACTTCGGCTAAGGTCTGCCTTGGTTGACCCCGTGGCCAAGCACGGAGCTTGGCTGCCCGAGTCGGCCGGGTGCAATTCCGGGTTCCCCCGGTTCTTCGAACTTGGTTCGCTCCATGTTGTCTGGCTCCGGGTTCATTCGTAATTATTCCATAACTAATGTAACTAAATAAAGACAAATGTATGTACACGGTGTCTCAAAACAAAACAAAAAAAAAAAACAAAAAAACAAAAAAAAAAACAAAAAAAAACAAAAAAAACAAAGAAACAAAAAAACAAAAAAATCAAATATAAAGTAGATGAAAAGTTTCTTATTCATATATACCTGGTATCTCAGAAGAATCGAATCTGATGTAAATGTTTTGTCCATTCTGAGACAATAACCGAATATCAAACAAGTCCTTAAACCAAAGCAAACAGCCACTTCCTCCATTGCTTATATCTAAACTCGAATAAGCAGTGCATGAACAATTGCTCAAACACTTGTGCTCACACTCTTTAAGGTTCATAGTTGTGTTAAACCAAGAATGTGTAGTGTCTGGCAATTTTATCCCAGAATACTTCTTGAACCCATCTGTTCCATTCTTGCATTTCAGAGGTATCCTCCTATGGCAACCATCGGACCAGTAATCAAAACTCTGCCACAGGAAATTCTCCGGGTTTTCATCCTCTGAATCTCTCACCACAAGATTCCCTGAATCCAACAGTTGTGCAATCGGATTCTGAGCTGATGATCTTGGTGCATTGGTGGACCATATAGTGTTTTCAGAACTTAGGAAAGCTAGATATTTTCAGCATAATGAAGAAGAAATTGCAGAGAGTTTTATTATATGAGAATGGAGAGATATTACACAGAGAGATGAAAAACACCAAACTTAAAACCTGCTCAGCTACTGCCTTTATACAGGCTACTACAAAGTAACTGCTCTCAACAAACTACAAATAATGGAAAAGACTTTTTACTCCTTGTGCTCAGTTGTATACTGCATTTTATACTTTGATACCTGCCCCTAAGCTGGAGCATACAAGTTTTGGAGGCCCAGCTTAGAAGTAAACTTGTCAAACTGAGGAAAAGGCAGTGGTTTAGTGAATCCATCAGCAATCTGATTTGAAGAAGAAACAGACAGGAGTTTAACAAGACCTTGTTGAACCTTTTGGCGAACAATATGACAATCAATTTCAATGTGTTTCGTCCTTTCATGAAACACAAAATTTTCAGCAATGGCTATAGCTGAATTATTATCACAAAAAACAGTTGCAGGTTTGTCAAGACTAACGTGCAAATCATTCAGCAAGTAGCACAACCATTGTAGTTCACACACGGTTACAGCCAAAGACCTATACTCCGCTTCAGATGAGGAACGTGAAACTGTAGGCTGCTTCTTTGCTTTCCAGGAAATAAGAGACTTCCCAAGAAAAATACAAAAGCCTGTAATGGACTTCCTGGTTTCAGAACAGGCTGCCCAATCGGAGTCAGCAAAAGCTTGCAAATGTAGTTCTGAACTTGAGGGATAAAAGATGCCTTTTCCTGGTGCACCTTTCAAATACCTCAACACTCTATGAGCCACTGCTAGATGTTTTTCAGTAGGAGCATCAATGAATTGACTCAATTGTTGCACTGCATAAGCAATATCAGGCCGGGTGGCTGTCAAATAGAGTAATCTACCAACGAGCCTTCTATACCCACCAACATCTTCAAGTAGAGGACCATCGTTGTGCATCAGTTTTTGCCCTGGGACTATTGGAGTATTCACAGGTTTGGATTCGAGAAAACCACATTCTTGTAAGATATCCAGAGTATATTTTCTTTGACAAAGGTTGAGCCCCTCAGATGATCTAGCAACTTCTATTCCCAAAAAATAGCTGAGTTTGCCAAGGTCTTTGATCTTGAAGGTGGAATCCAGAAACCTCTTCAAGTCATTTATCTGTTCCAGTTCATTGCCAGTTACAATAATATCATCTACATAGACAAGGAGGGCAAGGAAAGATTTACCATTATCCTTAGTAAATAGAGAAGGATCGGCTTTAGCCTGTGTGAAACCAATGTTTAATAAAGCAGTAGTCAATTTGGCATTCCATTGTCTACTAGCTTGCTTAAGCCCATAGAGTGATCTCATCAACCTGCATACTTGGTTTGGCTTGTCACTTTGAAACCCAGGAGGGAGGACCATGTAGACCTCCTCATCTAAATCTCCATGAAGGAAGGCATTATTGATATCCAATTGTTGAATGTGCCAATCTCTTATGGCTGCCACTGCAAGAAAAGTCCTAATAGTTGATAATCTTGCCACAGGGGAAAAAGTTTCTATATAATCAACACCCAACTGCTGAGTGTATCCTTTAGCCACTAACCTGGCTTTATACCTTTCTATTGAACCATCTGATTTATGTTTGATCTTATACACCCATTTGCAGCCTATTGGAGTTTTCCCAGGAGGTAAATCAGTGAGTGTCCAAGTATGATTGTCCTGAAGGGCTTGAATTTCAGCCTGCATTGCTTGTTTCCAACACTGAAATTTGATTGCCTCATTATATGTCTTAGGTTCATAATTTGAGGAGATAGCAGTGGTGAATACTCTGTATGTTGGAGATAAGGATTCATAGGAAAGAACATGATGTAAAGAGTGTGGAGAAGACCTACCATGTATCACTGGATCACAATGGTAATCTTGTAATCTGACAGGAATATGCCTTTGTCTTGTAGATCTTCTAGGCTGAATATTATGAGATTCATTTTGAGTTTCATCTGGCAAACCATTCTCTGCTGCTGAATTTTGGGCTACAGGCAACGAACTGTCATGACCAAGTGGAGAGGCAGATGGAACGCCTAAGATGGAATGACCATCAGTGGCTATATCACCTAGGTTATAATCATCTGAAAAAGATAGAACTGGCAGAGAAGGATTAAACAAATCGTGTGTCTCACTGGCTGAAGTATTTTTAGCATCATTTGTCTTGAAGGGAAACTCCTGCTCATAAAAATGTACATCTCTGGATATGAAAACTGAACCATTTTGTATATCATATAAAATGTATCCCTTTACATTAGCAGGATATCCAATGAAAATGCACTTCCTTCCTCTTGCTGCCATTTTATGTCTTGACTGTGATTGTGTGGAAGCATAACATAAACAACCAAACACCTTTAAATGAGCATAATCAGTAGGCTTACCATATAACTTCTCAAAAGGAGTTTGCCAGTTGATCACTTGAGAGGGTAACCTGTTTATCAAATAAGTTGCATGTAGAACACAATGCCCCCAAAACTGCAAGGGGAGAGCTGCTTGAAATCTTAAGGCCCTAGCTACATTTAGCACATGTTGATGCTTCCTCTCTGCAATTGCATTCTGTTGTGGGGTGTTAACACATGACTTTTGATGTAAAATGCCCTTTTCTGCATAAAACTCAGTCATATTAAACTCAGCCCCATTATCGCTTCTTATGACCTTGATTTTAGTAGAAAACTGAGTTACTACATAGTTGTAAAATGCTTTGATCAAAGGCCTTGCCTCTGACTTATGCCTCATCAAATGTAGCCATGTGAACCTACTGTAGTCATCCACTATTGTAAGGAAATAGTGTTGTCCCTGCAATGAACAAACTGGAAAGGGACCCCAAATATCCAAATGTATCAACTCAAAACAACCTGCAGTAGTGGAAGTGCTAATAGGAAAAGGTGATCTCTTATGCTTAGCAAAATGACACACATCACAAGCTAAATTCTTATTCCAAGAAGTTTGATGAAAACCACACAACATATGCATTTTAGTAATGGGAAAATGCCCCAGTCTCTGGTGCCAAACATCCATACTAATAGCATTACAATGTATCTTATTAGACATACTGAAAGAAGAAATTTTCTTTGCTGGAGGCTCTGTCAGAAGATACAACCCATTCTCTTCCTTAGCAAAACCAGTCATCATCCCATGAACATCCTGTATCAAACATTCATTTGCCATCACGAGTAAGCTACAATTTGAATGTTTGGCTAATTTACTGGCTGACACAATATTGAAAGTAAAACTGGGGATGCACAAAACATTCTTTAACCATAAGTTCTCAGATAGTTTAATGTTTCCAATATGTGAGACTTTAACAGTCTCCCCGTTTGGCAAGTTAACCACAGTTCCCTGAACAGCACTATATTCATCAAAAAATTCCAAAGAGCATGTAATATGATCTGTTGCACCTGTGTCTAATATCCATGTGGCAGAACATCTCAAAATAGAATTAATGTGAGCTATAGAAGTAAACTTGCCTTCGGGTGGATTCTCTGCCACAGCTTTAAAATCTGGAACCAAAGTTGGAGTAGGAATACCAAGTGAAACTGTTGCGGCAGTGGATGAACCCTGTCCAATCTGTGTCTGGATAAGTGTGATCAATTTCTGGAGTTGCTCATTTGATATTCCAATATCTCCAGTTTGATTTGCATTTGCAGAGACTGCTAACTGATTTACTTGTCCTTGAACTTGTGCTTGTTTTCCTTTGGACTTATAGCCTGCAATCCATCCCGGGGGGTATCCGTGCTTTTTGTAACATTTGTCTATGGTGTGACCGTTCATTCCACAAAATGTGCATTTTGCTGCAGACTTGTTTCCACTGTTAGTGTTGAACCTTTTTTTGTTATTGAAATTACTTGCATTATTTGAACCAGAAACAACAGCCACAACTTCTTCATTCATTTGTTCTGTGAGGCTACCTTGACTGGCATTAGCTTGCATTATATCATTCCCACTGCATCCAATATTTGTGCCACTGATTTGTCTTTCTAGTTTGAGTGCCATTCCAAACACTTTATAGACATCTGGCATAGGATCTAGAACTAAAACTCCTGATTTAATACTAGTAAAATCATCATTTAGTCCCTTCAAAAAACGGATTACCTGATCATCATCACGTTCCTTTATGATTTTCTTCACAAGCTCACATGAACATCTAGGAGTGCATTCACAAACAGGTAGCGGCCGTAATGCACTCATTTCTTCCCACAATGTTTTGCACCTTGTGTAGTAGTCAGTAACACTCAAAATTCCCTGTTTATTATTGTAGATTTCATCCTGGAGTTCTGAGATTCTGTGTGGATCTGCTTGAGAGAACCTCTTTCTTAAGTCCTCCCATATGTCCTTTGCCTTTTCAAAATAGATAACACTCTGAGCAATTGAAGGACTAACTGATTTTAATAGCCAGGAACTCACGATCATGTTGCATCTCCTCCAAGCTCCATATTCAGGGTGTCCAACATCTGGAACGGAAATGGATCCGTCAATTATTCCCCATTTGTTCTTAACTTCTAGGGCTATTCTCATCGATCGACTCCATGAGCTGTAATTAGACGCGGTCAATGAAGGAGATACAAGCACTTTATTCGGATTCTCACTCACATGCAGAAACAACGGATTTTCATAGTCTTCCGAACTTGCACTCGCACTTCGCTGCGGAAGCGACATTGATGGAGGACGCTCTATTGACGGAGCTCCGTTGGATTCTGCATCCGCCGAGAGGACCGCCGCATAGCTCATATTGCGGGGCTCTGATACCATTTCAGAACTTAGGAAAGCTAGATATTTTCAGCATAATGAAGAAGAAATTGCAGAGAGTTTTATTATATGAGAATGGAGAGATATTACACAGAGAGATGAAAAACACCAAACTTAAAACCTGCTCAGCTACTGCCTTTATACAGGCTACTACAAAGTAACTGCTCTCAACAAACTACAAATAATGGAAAAGACTTTTTACTCCTTGTGCTCAGTTGTATACTGCATTTTATACTTTGATAAGTGTCATTCTTGCCGTCAATAAGAAGTAGCCGGCCAGGCTTAACGATCTTCAAGACAGCAGATGTTGAGTTAGTTAGGGCAGTTTCTCTGTTGGCAATCCATATTACTGTTGGAACAGGAATTTGGTTGTACCATATACCGACATATCGGTTTATGGAACCAGCAGGGATGCTGAGAAACCCCATCTCAAAGCTCCCACCAGATGAAATGATGGTGTTTCCATCTTTGAGGAACTGAGTGGAAGTGAGTGTATCCCTTGCATGGGAAATTTTGTGCATGGAAAGCAATAAAAGGGAGAACAAAAAATGCAGGAAAAGAGTTCTCATTTTGATATCTGTTTCTAAAGTGAAATGTTTGCTGTATATATAGATTTTCTGTTTTGCTTTTCTTGATGGAAATTTATTGTTTATAGATTGGGAGACTTTAATTCGCTAGACCTTAGAAGATTGCAAAGACCAAAGACTCCGTGCAATTGCTGGCATTGAAATGCGGATAAATTTCAGACATTAATTAATTCAAGTCAATTGCTCTTTAAAAAAATTTCGACACCTACGATATTAAAAAATGTGCACTGACATGCACAAGATTGTGCACTAGAATGCACAAAAATGTGAAACTAAATTCGATACAGGATCTACCATGTAATGCGAAGTACCTTGTGTTCAGATGGCATGTAGTGACCTCTCTTATGTGGGAGGTCATGAAGTCGAGGCGTTGTTGACTCTGTGTACTTCAGGTTGAGAAAGTATATTTGAACAGATACTAACGAGACACCTGCAATCAACAATGTGCACTACAAGGCACAACAATATGCACTTGAAGGTATAAATTGTGTGCTCCAAAAGAGACAACAATGTGCACGGGAAAAAGAAAAAAATGCAGCGAAAGACAAAAAAAAAAAAAAAAAAAACCACTTACCACGGTTCGGTTCAAACTGAACTAGACACTATAGCAATCGAGTTGAAAGTTTTCGGTTATGAATCAGATCCAGAACCCAATATTTGGATTTCAATTTATTAAAATCATGAATCGGAAAAACTGGATCCTGAACCGTGAACCAGCGGTTCGAATTGGAACAACTACTAGTGTTAGCTTAAAATTAGAATTATAATATTTACAAATAATGTATGTTCCTTTTTACATTTATTCTGCTTCTCACATATAAGTATATATATGACCGCGATTTGATTTTGATTTTGAACCGTCAGTTCACAGTTCCAGATCCAGTTTGAACTGCTGGTTCAAATTTATTTTAAAATTTTATTTTTTATTTTTAAAATAGTTTAAATTCAACAATAAATGTATTTTATTTTTTCAGTTGAGAACATGAATCGACCGTTCCGGTTCGCGATTTTAATAAACTCTAAATATTGGGTTTCGATTCTAAATTGTAATCGGAATATTTCGGTTTGGTTGTTATAGTGTCTGTTCGGTTTGAACCAAATCGTGGTCAATAATTTGTTGGAGAAGAAAAATAAATGAAATATTTATTTTAAGGGTAAATAGGTCTATTTAACATTTTAGGGGGAAAAACTGCCACTTAATAATTCAGGGGGAAAAATGCTATTTTTTCATATAATATATATATATATATATATATATATATATATATATATATATATATATATATATATACACACACACATACATATATATTTAAGATCATATGAGAACACCTATTTAGGTGAGAACGTGAGAACAAATCGTGTGCATTCATTTAATATTTTTTAATGGTCTAGATTAGATTAAGTGTGTGCGAACGTGCATTAAATGTGTGCAAACACACTCGTATGCACATGTTCTCACTGAAACCCTATCATATATATATATATATATATATATATATATATATATATATATATATATATATATTACATGACCGGATTTTGGGCCGTGCAAGATGGGCAACAACACAGGGCCTCAATTTTTAGAGGGCCTAATATTTATCGTTGACTTAGCTACTTAAGAAATAAAAAATAAAATAAATCTACACCAACTCATCTCACATTTTACAAACTCATTATTGTCGTCATATTTAATCTCCACAAATTACAACGCCAATAATCACCGTCAATGCATCAAACGCAATAATAGATATAGATTATTGGCATTAAGAATCTACCCCGTGACCGACATGATTTCTGATGCAGCCGTTACATCGGACGCCGCCGCCGCCGCTCTGCTGGAGATCACCTGGCAAATCATCGACGGGGCTCGGGGCTATTGGTAAATATGATACTTTTAGTTGCCCTAGCTTTAATTTAAATTGAAGTAGGAACTGTGATTTTTGCATTTAGCTGGCATTACACCATTCATACTAATTTGAAGTAAAAATCATATATTTTATGACATTGATTTTAAAGATTGCACACTTATACTTTTGTTAGGGGCATGACCTCATTTATTTATAAGAATGTGGACACAAAAATCCAAAAACCGGCCATGTATATATTCTACTTTTACTTCTGTCATAGATGCCAGTCTACTTACGTTGGGAATTGGGACATAAGTCATTGCTACATTAATTATTGGAAATTTGACCTTATCTAAGCTAATGCTTAGATTACGTTGGGCGGAGGTCGGTAAAAGTCAAGTCTATCACCCGGTAATGGAGGATTGTTGAGTGGAGATTGATAAATGGCTTAAAGAGTCAAGTTTAACACTCAACATCTCGAAAATGTGTGGCGGTATAAGGAAATAAAGTTACGCCTTTGTTACAAACTATAACTTTTGACTTAGTGGTAAGTGTTTGATCTTAACAAGTGATATCAAAGGTAAGTCACGAGTTATCCTATCAATAAATGCAAGTTTAGAATAAGTTTAAGACAAGACACCCGTTGAACAGATCAACTATACATCTAAGTTTTCCAGATTAGCTATTGGTTTAGAATTTTCTACTTCTTAGACTTTGTTTCAGCTATGTGAATTATCCTCCACAAGAGGCACTATCACCATAACTCTTAACCGATCAGAGCTTGACCTTGACCTTGACCCTAATTAGGCCAATTGTTCAACCTCACTAGACTTACTTCTAATTAAGACAACGAGATTACCATATATCTCGAGTCTTGAAGTGAAATATGGGTTTCAAAGTTCTCATGGCACTTTGTGAAAACTGGCTTGCCACCATTCAAACGGCAAATTATACCGTGGACCATCGTCGACAAAGCATTATGGACCATGGTCCAGAACGGTGTCGTTTCTTTTAATGAAAAGAAACGGCACCTGTTCCGGGCTTTTTCGCATAAAGTAGTTTTGTTTGTATAACATATTCAGTTTCTTTCAACACAACTACAATTTCGTTTCATTTCAGAAAATGAAATATTCCCGCCCTGCTTAAAGAATGCATCAAGAGCATGAGCGAGTAGCCACACTGTGTCATAAGCATAGAGACCCAGAGTGGACAACTCAAAAGTGCCATTATTTGCCAACCGTTTGGTCAAATTACTCCACCTAGAGAAAAATTTCCTCTTCAATGTAGCCAATGTAGAAAGCCGAGCATTAGTGTCAAGGATGGTTGAGAGCCAATGTGTAGCCAATGTTTTATTTCCAGAAATTATATATGTTTTGTTTATGTTTATCAGTTTATTTGTTTGTTAGAAAATTCTATGTTTACTTGTTTAGATTATATTTTTTTTAGTTCAGTTATGAAAAAATTCTTTAGAAGAAAATCAACTTTTGTATTTGAACCTTGTATTTGAACATTTTTGAATTCATTTTACCTTTGCTTCTTTGCACCACTCAAAGGAAATTCTGGCTCCGTCTCTATCTATAACTTTTCTTATGTTTGGTTCAATGTGATTGAATTTGTTTATTTGTATTCATATTATTGTGGGTAGAGATGGATATCACAAAACCTTTGAAAAAAGGAATGAGAATGAAAAAGGATGATGGTGAATGGATACGGGTTGACTTTCGTTATGAACGACTCCCTACTTTCTGCTTTATCTGTGGAATCTTGGGGCATGGAGATCGCTTTTGTCCGAAGGTGAAACGAGGAGACGATGCTACGCGGATGAAGGCTTTTGGACCGGAGTTGAGAGCCGGTAGTCGGAGAAGCACTCCGGTAGCAGGGCAGCAGTGGATTGCGCCGGAAGTAACTGTTGAGCGCGATCAGTGGATTTCCCCGGGAATTGCGGCTAATCAATCTTCGGAAGGAAAGAAAGTTATTAATAATAATTCTCTTTCCATTCTTGTGCATACAAAATCAGGCCAAAATATCCCCGTTCTTTCTGCTGCAAATTATGGCAAAAATAGCGTGACAGCTAATGCAAGCAGTACCACGTGCATGGAGTCTGAGATAGGTGAACTTACCTTTGTGGATCCAAAACGTCGTCGCCAGTCCGAAGCTACACCAAGCAGTCTGCAGGTACAGGCCATGGAATGCGATGATGTCTCAAAAAACTTGCAATTGGCGGGAGTTGGCTTGGGCCATTCCCGCCCGTCCCAATGAGTACCCTATGCTGGAACTGTCGTGGTCTGGGCAACCCACGTACAGTTCATGAATTATTGGCACTAGAGGCCAAAACCAAGCCTATGTTTATTTTTATTATGGAAACGAAGGTACGTCAAGTACATGCAGAAAACTTAAAAATAAAGTTGAACTTTGAAGGTCTGTTCTATGTGGATGGTGGGGGACGTAAGGGTGGTTTAGCACTGCTTTGGAGGGATAAAAATGTGGCAAGTCTTATTAGCTACTCGAAGAATCATATCGATGTTCAAGTACGGCTGCCTGGCAGCAATGCTTGGAGGTTGACAGGTTTTTACGGGTTCTCGGAAAGCACTAATCGTCAACGTTCGTGGGACTTGCTACGCTCTCTTCGTCATAAGTCGGATCTTCCGTGGTTAGTAGCTGGGGACTTTAATGATATTATGTCTCCGAACGAGAAGCGTGGGCGGCATCCGCATCCCACTTCATCAATTGAGGGATTCACGCGTGCTTTGGATGAGTGTCACCTGTTTGATCTGGGATTGAAAGGTAGGCAGTTCACCTGGGAACGAGGAATGGGCACTGATCATTGGGTAGAGGAGAAGCTTGATAGGGCTGTGGCGGGTGCAGACTGGAGAGTGATGTTTGAACGTGCGGAGGTTCGTAATTATGATGTAGTTATGAGTGATCATACTGCAATCTTTGTGGAGTTGGAGGGTCCCTCTGTGGGGCGTCAAAGAAGACGGTTTATGTTTGAAAATGCCTGGTTAAAAGAATCTGGTTGCAAAGACGTTGTGCTGAAAGCATGGGATGAGACAAGAGGTGATATTTTACCGGAAAGGCTGGATCACTGTGGAGTAACGCTTAATCACTGGGGTGGTAGTTTGATTCAGCGTA